TGGCAAATGGGGATGCTGTTAGGAGGCTTTGGCAGGCCCCTATTGGTGAGTCACAGAGGATACCCTTAGGATTTTAGAGCAAAATTTACTGTCGTTTTGAGACAGCTATTCTTAGGAGACACTGCAATTTGACAATGGGCCACATTGTTCCCATGTGACCTGAGCTGCCCATCATAAGCTGGGTGTTACCTGATCCACCAATCTCTAAAGTAGGATGTGCACAGTAGCAATCCATTATTAAATGGAAATGAGCAGGTCCTGAGGGTATAAGCAAGTTACATGAGGAAGTTGTCCAAATGCCTTTTTTAAAAAAATCTTGTCAAAAACTATGTTCTAGACTTCTATCCTTATGATGTTGTAAGTCTTACCCGAGGATACACATTTAAAGTTAAATTGAAAAAAAAAAATCCACAAACTGGCAGCAGTTCCAAACTACCTTCCTTTCTTCCGTTTTGAAATTTATGACAATTTTATTTCTTATGCATAAAAGTTGATGAAAAACTATTAGTAGCTCTATTAAAGAAAACCGAGCATTTAAATTAAAAGGCATAGCAGCTGTACTTAATATACTATATTCTAAAATATAACTTGAACACATCCAGCATGCTGTTTAATTTCAGTACAATGGATTCAGGACCAAGTATGTATGTGTTTCATGTATTGCTGCTGGATTATAGTATATTATGGTCATCATCTAATCTTTCTGGGGAAGAGAAGTGAAAAGGTTGGTCAGCATGACACTATATTGCCAATTGTATATCATTAGTCTTTCTTAGCATGGCTTGAATAAATTTTCACGTCACCTAGAACTGTGGTCACTGGAGAGATGGCTCAGCCATTAAAGGCTAGGCTCACAACCAAAACTACAAGAGCAGTCTTCTCTCATATGCCTAAAGTATGCTCTTTTTTTCTTTGTCATATTAGTTAAAGGATAAAATGACTATTTATATTGTGGGGTGACAACCCAACACAGCTGATGAAAAAAATCTGAAGAATAACTAGCTTTCAACTCTGTCACATGCCCTTTCCCTAATGTGGTGTCACCTTTGGGCACAGCCCTTAGACTTGCATAACAGGCTTGGGTTATTTCTCTCTTGATCTTAATATCCTTGCCTGGAGTGGGACTGTTTCAGAAATGATCCATTCTCCTGGTTATGGACAGGATAGCAGCCTTTGCTGAGGACTCTTTGCCAGTCTTTGATTGGATTTATCCAGTGTCTCTTGGAGACTGCCAGAGCTCCTGCTCACTTCTGTAATGGTATTCACCAACTGATGGAAAGCCTCTGATTCCTACTCAAGTGACTTAGAAGAAGCCATTGAAAAAGCCCTGGTTACTATCATGTTGGGGAAAATGGTCTCCTGTCATCCGTTGAGGACACAGAGCTTCCTGTTGGGCCTCTCTAGTCTTTTCATAGCTGACAATAGAATATACATGACTGTTGTGGTCCATAGCTCCATGCTGTTCTAATGTACTCAAATGGAGGTGGATGTTCATGTCATTGGAAATGTGTCACTGAAGCATCTAGTGTTGATATTGCAGGTTCTGTGTTGATCTTTATTGCTCATATTTGGCAAACAGTTGGGCAACATCAGAAACAAGCTGATTAATCTTTCCTGTCACAATTTTGATATTTTGAATGAGGCACCCCTTGTCTGGAAGTTAACTCTTAAATTCAGCTAACCCAGTGGTTAATGTACAAAGACAGCGTTTCTACTTGCTAATATCTTACCACAAGCATTGCACCATTGCTTCAAGTGAGTCAAGACTATGGGGAGATGGAGGAGTCATTGGTTGACCACATCAGACTGGGTGGCTGAGTGTGTGCTCATAGACTGACTCAGTATCTTGATCGTGAGAGGCTCCTGAGGTGTGTGATTCCCCCCCCCCCCCAATTTTTCAAGGCAGGGTTGATAAACCCTGTCTGTCCTGGAACTCACTTGTAGACCAGGCTGGCCTCAAACTCAAAAGACCCACCTGTCTCTGCCCTCTGAGTGCTGGGATTAAAGGTGTGTGCCACCATTATGAGATGTGCGACTTGAGGTGCATTGACTGCAGTGTCACCTCCAAGGGCATGGAGCATAAGGTTAAGCGTGGGAACTCAAAGTTTGCCTATGAAGATGTCCTCAGTGATGTGCACCTAGGCACTTTGCTTCCTGGGGAGGCAGGATTCTTCCTCACGCAGTGAAGGGGGTAGAGACATCTGTGTCTGACCAGGTACTGAACTCAGCACTGGGAACTTTTCCTTAATGTTCCTCCTGGATGAATTGTGATCCTCAGAAGAAATCCCAAGATGAAGTCCCAAAAGGATAGTCTAGGTGTCTTAAAAAGAACCTAATCAAGACACCTATTCTCTGCCAGTTAAAGGGTTAAAGGAAGGAAAAAGTCAAGTGCAACAGATGGCTGAGGAGAAATCTCTTTACACTGCAGACATCAGCAGACAGAATCAGCAGGTATAGAAAGGTGTTTATTGGGGGTGAGGAAACACACATGCAGCAGACACAAAATATTGCAAAGCAGGTGGGGACTTGGGAAGCTGAAAAATCCAAGTTCCAAACTTGTGTTTAGGGGAATCTCATCAACATATGAAGGGAAGAAAACTTAGGATTTAGCTGTTTAGAGAACAGTCACTCATGCAGCTGTCAATTTCACAGTTGTTTCCTTTTGTATTAGTAATGCCAGTAGGTTAAAAGATCTCAGTCACTTCAACAACAAACCAAAATGGCAGTTAAATAGAATTAAAAGGTCCATTAAGGAATTAAATAGATATGCCAAGATCTTTATGAAGAAAAATCCAGAATTTTGTTGAGTATAATAATAAAAAAAAACTAAAGCTAAAGCTTAGCCATCTACACCCAGGCTATGCTCTGAACAGGATTTTGTTGTATTATTATAATTTGTCTAACATTAGTGAGTATTTAGGGTCAACATTTTTATTTAGAATTCTTTTTACATGTAGTATATTTTGTTCATATTCTTTCTTCCCTAACTCCTATACCTTACCTGCCTCCCTACCTCATGTTTGTACATGTTCTGTGTCCCCCCCTCCCTCATCTGTCTCTCTCTTACACACACAAAACAAAACAAAAATAGAGTTCCAAATAAACAGCTATTAAGGCAGAGGATACCAAAACAAAACAGACACACACAAAAAATACGGATCAATTTTGTGTTGGCCAAATACTGTTGGTCATGGGGCCTGCTCTGGAGTGTGGTTGATACACCCAGTGATATCCATTGGAGAACTGTGTCTGCTTCACCCTCTCTCAGTGCTGGGATTTTTGTTTGGTCTGAACTTGTGCAGATCTTGTATGTGTTACCAGTCTCTGAGTTCATATGTACATTATCCTGTTATGTCTGAAAGACACTTGTTTCCTTGGGTCATCTACTACCTCTTGCTCTTAAAGTCTTTCAGCCTCCACTTGAGTTCCTTGAGCCTTAAGGTAAGGGTTTTGATGAAGATATCTGACTTAGGATGCTCATTTAGACAGCTCATTTTGAGTGCTCCAGAGTCACTCTCTGCACATTATCCAGTTGTGAGTTTCTGTTAATTCCCCTCTGATAAGGGCTGAGTGATGCACTGGTCTACGATTGTAGCAGTTTGCCATTAGGAATAATCTTGTTCTGTTCTTTTAGCAGAATAAAGTAAGTTTCTCTAGGGCCTATGAGCTATCTAGTCTTAGACTTTTGGCTACCTTAACAATGCCAGATATGGGTTCCATCTCATGGAGTGGGCCTTAAATCCAATTTAAAAAAATTACTCCTTACTCCCAAAACATTTGTGCCACTATTATACCAATTATGTCTTGCAAGCATACTAATACATGATAATGTATAAGCATCTTTTTATTATTGTATTGGGTCCCATGGAAGTTACTACTTTTTTTTTTAATTGTGTCTATATTTTTGTGTTTCTGTGTGGGTATGTGTACATGTGTGCTGGTACCCTTGAGGCCAAAGGTATATTGGGTCTCTTGGGACTGGAGTCATAGAAGGTTATAAGCTAGTTGACATGGGATGCTGGGAACCAAACTAGGTATAAGCAAGCTGTTCTCTTGACTACTAAGCCATCTCTCCACACCCTACTGGAACATACGAATTTTACAAATACCAACGTTTTCATGTTTCAGAAGTCAAAAAGATTGTATAGAGAAACTTGAGCAAATATGGAATATTTCTGCTGTTAGAAGTCACAATTTAGTAAAAATTATGGATAAGGAAAAAGTCACTAGTTTTTCAGTTAAAGAGAATGTTTTTGTGGCCTTAACTTGACAACTCTAAGAAGTTGATTGTAAAGCTTTATAGAGTAGTTATGTAAAAGTATTAGTTCAGAAAGAATATAGTTTTACTAAAAATAGACAGCAGAACCCAAAACAGTGGGTCAAGACCATTTGAGAAGGTTCTGAACAAAGAATTGATAGGAATACAGTTCAGTCTCATAAAAAAAATAGAGCAAAGCAAATCAACCCCTAGTTTATTAAAGATACCACTTTATGACCTAGACACTAGAATTGCCCCTTAAACTGTGAAAGATTTTAATTATTGTATTCTCATCAAACAGTTTTACATAGATTGGCATACCAAATAATACCGTAAATAATTCTGGGTCTTGGCATCGAGTGCCTTTCAGTTCTCACTCGCATTGTGAAGTTCAGAAAGGCAGAGCTCAGTATCCAGTCTTGGTATACTGTGAGGAGTATGCGGTCGCCAAGACTGAGTGATTGTTTGTTAGGCATTTAGTTTTAACTTGTTTAGATGTATTTCTATGCTTGTCAGGAAATTGAAGAATATATCTTCAAATTTCAGTGAGTCAAATTGATAGAAATCTCTAAACTAGTTATAGCTGATAAATTGTATGCTTTTCTGTAATATGAAAAATTTCTAAATTTGAATTATTTGTACCTTAGTTGATTTTAGATGCTGTTATAGTATTTGTATATTTTTTTGTGGAAATGGAAAAATATAAAAATGTAAATGTGTTTTTTTTTTTTTTAATGCATAGCTCCACCAAGTATGTTAGTGAAGGATGAATACGTTCATGACTTTGAGGGACAGCCATCCTTACCCACTGAAGGACATTCAATTCAAACTATCCAACATCCGCCAAGTAATCGTGCATCAACGGAGACATACAGCGCCCCAGCTCTGTTAGCCCCATCTGAGTCTAATGCTACCAGTACCACCAACTTCCCCAACATTCCTGTGGCTTCCACAAGTGAGTTATGCAGTCCAATGTAGTCGGAAGTTTTCCTAACTATTGAATATCTATGTGTAGTAAGTAAAAATTTAAGCTGTTGTGGTCTTTTCTGGTGTTGAGTATGGTATCAGGGCCAGATGCACGCTAGGTGGATTCTCACTCCTGAGTCTTACCACTCAAGCCGTAAATGTAGGTAAACATGTTAAATTGGTGTGTGAGTTCATTCTGGAGAAAATGATATTTGCAGTTTATTTAAAATTTCAATGTTGATATGCAGTCAAATGTAATGACTTTGATTATAATCTTAAATTAAGATATGTTATTTGCTATTACATGCATAAGTAAGAAGTTTCCTGTATTCTTCAGATAGATTTTAGAGAAATATTTAAGTACTTGGCAAGTAATTTTTTTGTTATTATATGTTTGAGTGTGTAATTGTATGTGTGTATGTGTGCACATGTGGGCCACTGTGTGTTTGTGGAGAATAGAGAACAGCTTTGTGGAGTCAGTTCTCTCCTTGCATCTTCACATGGGTTCTGGGTACCAAACTCAGGTCACTGACCTTGTGTAGCAAGGATCTTTCCCTGTTGAGCCATCTCACTGGCCCAGCAAACAGCTTTGAACCAAGGTGTTTATAAAAGTCTGTGTTGGTGCAATTGAAACCTTTCTTTTAGCCCATTATTTTGTCTTAGAGGGTAACTTTATAATAGTCTTCTCGATTTCCTCTTGTGATTACTTGGAAAAGGGGCTTTTAAACATTCTTGCTTTTAATATTTATTGTCCCAGGTAGGTATCAAGTATTTTAACGAGTTTCAGTATAAAGCTAATACGTATATCTTTAAAAAGGTTGGTAGTAAAGATTTACCTTTCTACCTTTTCCGTAGGAGTTTCTCAGTCTGTGTTCTGTTTCTTCCTTCTTCTCTATCTCTGTTTCTTGGTCATATCAATTGAAACTAGGACCTCTCCCATGCCAGATAAATCCTTGACCATTGAGCTATACCCCCAGGCCGGACTCAGCTTTTCTCAGAGCCTAATAAACACAGTTTATATTGTTATTTTTTCTAATACCAAAGGTTGAACAGCCACCTGCTCTGCAAAGTAGAGTAATTTGCTTGTTTAATTTAAAAATTAAAAAAAATTAATGTGTATGATGTATACATGTATGTGTGATAGCGCGTATGTGCTGTGGTATACATGCAGAAGTCAGAGGACATCCTCTGTTGTTGGTTCTTTCTGTCTATCTTGTTTGAGTCAAAGTTTCATATTGTTTGCAGTTACATGTGCCAGGCCAGCTTGTCTGGTGGGTGGGGGATTCTAGTCTCTTCCTCTCATCTTATAGGAGGAATTACAGATTCACACTATTGTGTCTGTCCAGCTTTATGTGGATCCTGGGGATTAGAGCTGAGGGCTGCATGCTTGCAGGGAAAGTGTATAACCCATTGAGACATCTTTCTAACCCCTAATTATTTTTTAATTTAAATGTTGTAGAACATGCAAATAGTATTAATTCATTTGATTACTAAGAGCATTGTTTTTAAACCTGTATTATCAAGAGATTGTTAGCTGATATAGATAGATATTTGTTACTACCTAACAGTACAGTAGTATCAGTTTAGACTCAACATTGAAGTTTTAATCTTTGAAATAAATAGAAGATTAATTTCTGAAATGTTATTGCTCCCACCCTCCCTAGTGCTGGGTATCCAAGCCAGTATGTCACCCATGATAGGCAAGCACTTTACTACTGAACTATGTGCCTGGCCCCTGTAATTGTTTTCAAAATTTCTCATTAGTCCATTTCACCACCTCAGTGGTCACAATCTTAGAATAGATAATTTGTGTACGCATATGATGTATATGTGTATGTATGTAGCTTTGCGGGGGGGAGGGGTGGTTGATGAAAGATTTCACTCCATAAGCCAGGGGGGCTTTGGACTCCTGGTATCCTTGTCTCAGTCTGTAAAATGCTGGGATTACATGTATGTAGCATGACACCTTGTGCATCTCTGGCTTTCCTGTCTTTTTATTTGCTTATTTGGAGTACAGCTGACAGAAGTGTTGGAGACAGAAAATAAAATAGATGGTATCCACTTATGTGTGGATGACTGCTGAGCCTGGGCATGTACTTGTGTTTTGTATTCTCTAGAGATTGAGCTCTGTCCAGTGATTTACAAAGTGACTTCATTTTTACTTTTCCTCCCCGCCCTGCAGGAAGACTGCTTGAAAGCCAGAAAAAGATGTGAATGAAATATATCCAATTCTGTGTGTCATAATACTTTTTAAAGTAGATTTTTATAATTGAAATATAAATATTGTAGATTTTAGAACTTGCAGTGAAATTTTTCCTTGTTTCTGAAAAGATATGTTGATAGAGTTACAAGAAAGAAAATAAACTAGATTAAAATAGAGGAAGGTGAAGGTTATTTTACATGAGCTGATTTTACATTAACACCTGATCTGTGGTAGTTCTCAGTGTAGATGAGTGCTATGGTTTTGTAGGTAGGTCCTTGTTTTAAGGATTTATGCTATGTAGGGAGGAGGCATTTTTTTATTTATTTGCTTGTTTGTTTATTTTGAGGCAAGAGTCTTACATTACAGCCCAGCTGAGCTGGCCTGAGTTCCTCTTTCTTAGCTTTCCTCCTTCTAGGATTGAGACCATACCCACTGTGCCTGGCAAGTTCCTCCTCTTCTTGTTTAGATTGTGGTGACTTTAGTTTCTTCATCTGATTGCACTCCATTTATGAGAAAAGTGTCGTTGACAGATAATAGTAAGAACATTCCAGTGTTTACCAAACGAGATAAACATGACCTAATGCTTACTCTAAGAAATAGCCTTTTTCCACTTATAAAATAAAAACTATAAATGGCAGATAGTAAAACATAATGGAATATATTTCGAGCAGTCAAATGAAACCATTTTCTTGGCGCATTACAGAGGGAACAGCTGATTTAATGCAAATCTGAGTGGCATTCTGATGTTTTAAAAAAGACATGAAGAGGTTCAAATAGAGTTTTTTGTTGTTAAACCAAGTGCTGTATTGGTTCGACAGTGGAGCTAGTTGTTTTGTTTTATGATAACTTACCATCCTATTCCATTTAAAACATTGTCTCCTGTGTGGTTTTTGTTTTTTGGTTTGATTTGTTTTTTGTTGTTGTTGTTATTGTTATACGCCATTGTCCTGCCATTACCAGCACCAATGCCATGATAATTAACTTTCTGTTGTCAGCATTTGCTTTTCTGGGTTTTGGGGATCCAAATCAGGAAAGTCCAGAGTGGTCTCAGGTGAAGTGCCAAGGTTTGAACCAATGCTTCTAAAGCTGTTGTGATATACTAGACAGGTGGTGTGTTTCTTAGCATTTGAAGAGGATCTATGAAGAAACAGGCCACGAACATTAGGAAAACATTTCCTTTTTTAAATATTTCATTTCATGTGCATTGGTGTTTACCTGCATGTATGTATGTCTGTGTGAGGGCATCAGACTCCCTGAAACTGCAGTTACAAATGGTTGTGAGCCGCCATGTGAATGATAGGAGTCAAACCCGGGTCTTCTGGAAGTGCTCTTAACCACTGAGCCACCTCTCCAGCCCCAGGAAAACATTTATTAAGAAAAGGATAATTTGAACAATTCTGAAGGTTTTTTTTTTTTTAACAAATGCTTTTAGCTTTTTTATTTAATAGACAATGAGTGAGTTCCACTTTTGGCCAACCTTTATAGTTGTGGATTACCAGACATAATTAGACCTTTGTTTTTGTATAAAAGCATAAACTTGAATCTATCCATGTGCCATGTTAATGTCTTCTTATTTCTCCAGGTCAGCCGGCCAGTATTCTGGCAGGCAGCCATAGTGAAGGACTGTTGCAGATAGCTTCAGGGCCTCAGCCAGGACAGCAGCAGAATGGATTTACTGGTCAGCCAGCTACTTACCATCATAGTATGTACATGCTTTTTAAAATCCTTTAAGTAGTTGAGAGAAATAAAAAAAAAAAAACAGGCAGCCTTTATAAAAGCAAATTAATACATATGGGCCTTAATTTTTAGACAGCACTACCACCTGGACTGGAAGTAGGACTGCACCATACACACCTAATTTGCCTCACCACCAAAACGGCCATCTTCAGCACCACCCGCCTATGCCGCCCCATCCTGGACATTACTGTAAGCTCTCGTTTTCATTGTAAGCAGGGCCTTTTATTTTTTCTAGCTAAGACTTTGATTTCTATTTTCTTAAAAAATGGTTTTGCATCTTTTATTCATCTTACAATTTAATTTCATTAAATAATTAGTGCTTTTTTCTTTTTCAGTATTTTTTTGTAAATAGTTCCTTTAAATAGTTATCACACCTTTGTTTTGCACTGAAGTTCACTAAGCACATTCATTTCTCTGTTGCTGATGGTTCATCAACACCACATTGATTTCCATTTGTTTGTTTGCTTTCTGTGTGGTTTTAGGTCTTGTGTGTTATCCACCCACAGTCGACTGAAGCCCTTGAGTACTATGATCTCAAGGTTTCCACCACCATAGAATCAATGCAATAGAGGCTATAGGTACTTAGGTGTTAAACCTACTAATTCTCCATATAGGTGTGATTGGGTAAGATACCCTACAGACAGTCCAGTTTCAGACAGAATAGGAACATTGTTTATTTGACTTTAAATCATGACTATAGGGATGAAGAAAAAAAATATATATGCGTATATAAATAGAAAATCCCTTTTCCTCTCATTTTAAGATTAATAGTATCAAAAATATTGGGAAAGTAAAAAAGGCATAAATAATAAACTACTTAAAATCACCCAGGCATAGTCACTTTTAGTATTATGTCCTTCTAGTCATATAAATGGTTATGTGTGTGTTGGTGTGTGTAATATGTATATAGGGGGAGAGTCATGTTATGTGTATTGTTACTTATCAATTACATTACTATCTTTCCAAGAGTTCAAAGAATCTGATTTCTAATGGCTACCTGGACCAGTATGCAGGGTATTAGGTTTGTGCTATGATTGCTGGTCACTTATTTAAACTTATTAAGCCGCAGGGCTGTAATTTTATCTACTTGAAACAACATTGTAAGAAGTGAATGTAATAACTCTGAAGGTTTTAGCATAATGTGTTAACAAATAATAAGCTTTTAATTATGATAGCTATTGCTCCATTATACAAAAACTAATTTTTTTAATAGATTAGCAATTTAAATAATTATACATTGCATTATAAATTATGCTAATAATATTACACTAACAATTAAGTATTGTATGTATAACTTTGTAAATTGTTAAATTTTTTTTGTCAGATAACACTTAAAAGTTAGCTATCAGTGTCACAAAAAATTCAGAAAATAAGTTTTTAAATTTTTGTACGTGGCATAAACTTGATTTAGACAAGTCTTAAGGCTTATGATATTTATATTTAAAGTTTATTAAGTTTTAGCACTGGAAAACTTTTAATAAGTAAAATGGGATTTTTATTATGTTTCTTTAGGGCCAGTTCACAATGAGCTTGCATTTCAGCCTCCCATTTCCAATCATCCTGGTAAGTATGTTTCAATATTGATTCCCTGTATGTAGATTTTTATGATAATGCTACATGTATACCAGTGGATTATATTACAGAGTAACTAAACTCAAACAGTGTAATATTCATTATGAACTTAATCGGCAGTTTAAAAGTAGCTGTTGGTCACACATAGACTATATTTAATTCATTTTTAACTGTCTGAAAGAAAAATAAAAACTGTTTTAAAATGAGATACTAAGTACAGAATTGCCAGGTTTCTGCATTGAATACATAAATATGCAGCAGAATGAAAGAAACCTTAAGTAACCGGTCGCTTAAAAAGTCAGGGACGAGGCTAGTGAGATGGCTGCTAAGGTGGGTGAAGGTGCTTGTTTGCTGATTATTATTGTTTATAACATGATGTGATGCCCTCATTACAGATTTTACTTATGGGGGCCTGGAGAAATGGTTCAGCAGTCTGGAGCAGTGACTGTTGGCCACATGTAGCAGCTCTCACCCATCTATAGCTGCAGGACTAGGGGGTATGGGCTCTGTGGGCTCTGCATTCGTGATAAACATGCATACATACATGCAGACAAACATACTTGGAAAATACAAATAAATAAATCTAAAAAACAGATTTTTACTATAGAAAATACCTTCACAGATGGATGATGGTGGCACATGCCTTTAATTCTAGCACTAAATGGGCAGAGACAGGCTGGTCTCTGAGGAACTCTGTCGCTAACCAAAAGAAAATGCACAAATAATCTCAAAATTGGTGTTGTAAGTAATCATTTAGGTATATTTTTATTTCCTAAGCAAATATATTTAATGAATTACATTGCAATGAATTGGATTGCTGTTACAAAGTATTTTTAAGATACAGTCTCCCTGTATAGCTTAGGTTGGATTGAAACTCACTATGTAGTCCAGACTGGCCTCATTCACGTCGGTTCTATATTAGCTTCCTGAACATGTGCATCACAGGCATGCATTTATGTGCCATATTAACTCCTCATTGAAAAGTGATCAGTTGCTTGACAGATTTTTGCCAAGCAGTTAGGTGTCTTTTTGTATTCTCTCTCTCTGTCTCTGTCTCTCTGTCTCTCTGGTTTTTACGAGACAGGGTGGGTTTCTCTGTATTGTTTTGGAAGCTGTTGGTCCAGCCCGGCCTCAAACTCACAGAGATGTACCTGCCTCAGTCTCCCGAGTGCTGGGATTAAAGGCATGCGCCACCACCGCCTGGCTCATTGCTTCTCCTATTGCTATGACAAAATACCTGAAAAAGCAACTTAAGGAGGACAGGGTTTTTGTTTTTGTTTTTGTTTTTTTTTTGGCTCACAGGTGAGAATATAGCTCACCATTGCAGAGAAATGGGTGACAGATCTCTTTACTGACTGCTGCTGCTGACACCTTTTCTGCAAGTTCAAGCTCACATTGTTGTTGCTGGTGTTGCCAAACTGCAGCATGTTTTCATATTTTCCTGCTCCACTTTTTGTTCTTTCTGTAGGCCCAGATGATAGCCATGAGCAGTAACTATGCCACAGAGGGAATATTCAGTTTTGAGACTTCATCTACCCAGCACATTAGCCCGTTACAGGTTTGGCCTCACTCAAGTTTCCAGAACACAGGCAGAATCCAGCCAGAGCCTAGACAGGCTCTAGTAGGAATGGCCTCTGCCCAGTTTCAAATAGAGTACCTGGCCTCCACTGTCTGCATTTCTCTGCATTCTACTTTTCCAAACTCATACCAGAATAATCCCCTTAGCTCTACTTAACAGCATTTAGGGCTTTTCTAGATCAAAGTTCCAAACTTCCCCATTACGCTTAGTTCCAGAGACTTTAAAACCACACAGTAAAGTGTATCACAGTGGTCCTGTTTCTCGGTACCGTGTTTTTTCTTTTTTTTCTTTTTTTTTGGTTGTTGCTGTGAGATGTAAAAAAGACAGGTTTAACTTAGTGCGACATAGTTGGGATGTCATTGTGGCAGGAGGATTAGGAGTGGGTCACATTGCATCTACAGTCAGGAAGCAGTACCAATGCTCTGCTTTCTCCCCCTTTGTTCAGCCCAAAGGGGCTGCCTGTATGGATCGATAGCAGCCATTCACATTGAGAGTGGGTCTTCCTATCTTGATTTCCCAATATAGAGGCTGTCACAGACATTCCCAGAACTTTGTCTCTTGGACCAGTGTAGGTCCTGTTGATAGTCAGTTGACATCGCACAGTCCTGTAAAATGTTTTATTTTTTTTTTTCAGATTTTTGTTTGTTTTTAAATTTTTCTTTTGGGTTTTTTGTTTTGTTTTTGGCTTTTGTTTTTTTTTGGGGGGGTGGAGAGTGGGGATAGTGTTTCTCTATATAGTCCCAGCTGTCCTCGAGCTCACTCTATAGACTAGGTTGGTCTTGAACTTATAGAAATCCACATGCCTTTGCCTCCCGAGTACTGGGAGTAAAGGTGTGCATGTACTCCTCCTGCTCAATTAGAGTTTTCTCCTGAGAATTTGATTCATGAGTGCTCTATTTTAAGTTTTAGATGTCAATACTTCATTTTTCCTGGAGGATTGAAATTCGGGCTGGTTTGTGTCATTCTAAGTATCATTTCAGATTGTTGAAAGTTTTTATTCAGATTATACAGAATTTATAACACATTGTGATGGAGATAAATTTGCAGACAAAACTCCCTTCCTAATCTCTCAGAAGTTCTTCCTCTGAGACCAATATAGGACTCTCATTCAGGTCTTGAGTTTTCAGACAGAATGTCCCTCAGCTCTCTAGGCTGAAGTGTTCTTCAATCTCCTCCAGTCCGTGTCTTCCTCATCTTTTCTAATTGTCTTTGTAATGTTGTTCATGATCTGTGTTCCATGTTGATTTGTTTGCTCATTTGCCTGCTCTGTACCTCTGTGAGGGAATGTGAATGGTTTTGTTTGCTGCTTTGCTTATAGTACCAAACAATTCCCCAGATGTCTGTATGTGTCTGTTAAACAAATTACATGCATATGAACTTTGTATAGTAATGGAAACAAAATCAGAAGTAATTCAAATATTTGCAATCTGAACCAAGTATTGTCTCTCCTCCCCACTCCACCTCTGCTAGCCAACTAAGATAAATACACACTGTATTAGTTCACTAAAATGACCTCTAGATATGTGCCTTGCTGTATATATGATATATGTTAATTGGGTAAATGACCTTTGATTTTTGAGACAATTAAGAATCTGTAAGACAATTGTGCATAATTGTAAGTGGGAATATGTTGGCTGTTTTAGGTACTTTCTGTAAAAACATACCATAGACTATGTCTTAGGTTAGTGCACTTTTAAAGAGGAAGGCTCAGACAACAGAACAGATGTGCAATCAAATGAGCTGTCATTATAGAACAGTTTATTTTAAAATCAAATGAGCTGTCATTATAGAACAGTTTATTTTAAAGTCTGACTTATTCCTTTTTTCTTTTCCTTTCTTTTGGGGGTGGGTTGGTTTTTCGAAAGAGTTTCACTCTATAGACAAGGCTGGCCTGGAACTTGTAGAGATCCCCTTGCCTCTGCCTCCCAAGTGCTGGGATTAAAGGTGTGTGCACCACTACTACCCAGCTAGTCTGATTTCTTGTGTTCTTTAAATTCTCAGTTGATTTGGTCCTTAGAGTGTCAAGGTGTAAGTACTGGCTACAAGTAAGATATGAAATCACTATTTTTCAAGTGTATTACATTATTTTAATCCAGTGCTTCAATAATTCCTCTTCTGTTCATCTTTGTCTATGTTTGTTTCATGGGTGAAAGTACCTCTCTCCCTATATTTTTTGTTACATGGACGATGTTCTTTGTCATTTATGTTTCTATAGCTCCTGAGTATTGGTGTTCCATTGCTTACTTTGAAATGGATGTTCAGGTAGGAGAGACATTTAAGGTTCCTTCAAGCTGCCCTATTGTAACTGTGGATGGATATGTGGATCCCTCTGGAGGAGATCGCTTTTGCTTGGGTCAACTCTCCAATGTCCACAGGACAGAAGCTATTGAGAGAGCAAGGTATGTTTAAAGAGTAAAATGATTAAATACGACAGTATCTTTTCTTCAAGATTATTATTTTTCTATGTATATGAGTCTTAAATATGAATGATTAAAGTCATTGTAAATACTCAGAACTTGTAAGCATTCCATTTCAGTTGTAGGCATTTACTAAATATAAAGTTGTAAGAGACTGCAAATTTTCTGTGTTTTTATGATTTCTGTCTGTGCTAGCCATTAGCCACTTGTGGTTTTTGAACACTTAACATGGCTCATGTGATTGAATATCTGAATTTTAAGTGTATTTTACATAGCTGTATGTTGTTAGTGGCTGTTGATTTGGGCACTATAGAAAATACATGTGGCTGGAGAGATGGCTCAGTCTTTCTAAGCATTTGTTATTCTTTCAGCGGACTGGAGTTCAGTTCCCAGTACCCACAGCTGCCTGTAACAAGCTGACTTCTGAGCTGCATGGGCACCTCCCCTAACACACAGACATTCATGTGCACACACGCATGCGCACAAATAAAATTAAAATCTTTTTTGAAAGTAAAGAATTTACCTCATTGAGTTGTGGGGGTTAAATGAAATTTGTGTTAAGTACTTCTGATATAGTAAGTACTGTATGTTTATATATACATTAGTATATATATTATATACAAAAAGGAATTATAAAAGATGTCAATGATGGCTTTCTTTTAGGTATTATATATTTTTTATTCTTGCTGAGTACTTGAATAAAACTTACTTATAACTAATGAGATGTAATTATCTTTCCTTCCTAAGGTTGCACATAGGCAAAGGTGTGCAGCTGGAATGCAAAGGTGAAGGTGATGTTTGGGTCAGGTGCCTTAGTGACCATGCAGTCTTTGTGCAGAGTTACTACCTGGACAGAGAAGCTGGACGAGCACCTGGCGACGCTGTTCATAAGATCTACCCAAGTGCATATATAAAGGTTGGTTGCATTTAAATGTGAATATTTATACTTAAAAACCTCTTTGCTGCTTGAATCCTGAAAATGGAGGTGAGAAGAGTGGAAACCCGTCTTATGTTGGCTTGTTTTGGTCAAAGGTGGTGAGACAGTCTTGATGGGAACATTCAATAGGAGGAGGTAGGAGAATTGTAGAGTTCAAAAACCATTTTGGGCTAATATACATGGTAAATTTTAGACCATTGTTGACTGCCTAATGATATTTTATTTCAACAAACAAAAGCACCACTACAACAAAATATGCATGTGTTTTGAATATAAAACACATTTTCTGGAGATCTGTTTACTGCAAGCAGCTGTCTAGTTTTGCTTCCTAGTGTTTTCAAGTCTGTGAAGTCATTTAGAGTGATACACAGACTCTTGAAAACATTAACTAAAGCCTCCCAACTCTGTTCTTTAACACTAAATTGGTAAAAATCAAACTCTAGAATTTCACTTTAGCAGGTGTTGAGGGGTTTATGGAAGACAGTCCTAAATTCTAAAATTAACAGTTTTTCAAGGGGAAATATTTTTTTTTCAGTGCTAGACACCTGCCCTACCACTTAGCCTCTCATAAAACTGCAAATTAAGATGCCAGAGGTATACTGATTATACATATTCAACACATTTCAGTTTTATTTTTAACATATACTCTTTGGGAAAGACAAAAATAGGCCCAATGAGCTTAAGTAGATTTTCTGTTCTTTTTTTCAATTTATTTTTATTTAAATTAGAACCAAGTTTGTTTACGTGTCAATGCAAGCTCCGTCTCCCTCCCCTCTTCCCCTGACCCCCACTAACTCCCTTGCCCCATTCCCCCTCTGCTCCCCAAGGAGGGTGAGGCACTCCATAGGGGATCCCCAAAGTCTGTCGTATCATCCTGGGCAGGGTCTAGGCCCTCCCCCATGTGTCCAGGCTGAGAGAGCATTCCTCTACATGGAATAGGCTCCTAAAGTCCAAGTCCATTCGTACGCCAAGGATAAATACTGATCTACTACCAGAGGCCCCGTAGATTGCCAAGGCCTCCTCACTAACATCCACGTTCAGGGGGTCTGGACAGTCCCATGTTGTCCTACCAGCCACCAGTCAGTCTGGGGTCCATGAGCTCCCCCTTGTTCAGGTCAACTGTTTCTTTGGGTTTCACCATCCCGGTCTTGACCCCTCATCACTCCTCCCTCTCTGCAGCTGGGTTCCAGGAGATCAGGTCAGTGTTTAGCTGTGGGTGTCTGCCTCTGCTTCCTTCAGGCATTGGATGAAGGCTCTAAGATAGCATATAAGGTAGTCATCAATCTCATTATCTGGGAAGGGCATTTAAGGTAGCCTTCCCACACTACTCCTTAGGTTGCCAGTTGGTGTCTTCCTTGTAGATCTCTCCTCAAACCTATAATGGCTCCCTCTATAATGGTAGTTTTCATCCTGCTTTCCTCTACTCCTCCCTGACTCAACCTTCCTGCTCCCCCATTTCCTTCTTTCCCCTCCTCTTCTCCCTGTCTTTCTCCCAGCTCCCTCTCCCCTCCCACCATGGTCCCATTCCACTCAGGAGATCCTGTCACCTTCCCCATCTCCAGGGTACCATACATGCCTCTCTTAGGAGTCTCACTGTTTCCCAGCCTCTCTGGCGGTGTGGATTGTAGGCTGGAAATCCCATTCCATGTCTAAAATCCATATTTGAGTGAGTACATGCCATGTTTGTCTTTTTGTGACTGGGGATTGCGTCACTCAGGATGGTTTCTTCTAGTACCATCCATCCATTTGCCTGCAAATTTCAAGATTCCATTGTATTTTTTTTCCAATGAGTTGTACTCCCTTGTGTAAATGTACCACATTTTCTCTATCCATTCTTCAGTTTTGGGGCATCTAGGTTGCTTCCAGGTTCTAGCTATTGCAAATAATACTGCTATGAACATAGTTGAACAGATGTCCTTGTATGAATGAACATTGTTTGGGTATATGCCTAAGAGTAGAATTGCTGGATTTCCATTTTCCTGAGTCATCGCCATACTGCTTTCCAAAGTGGCTGTAGAAGTTAGCACTCCCACCATCAGTGGAGAAGTGTTCCCCTTTCTCCACATCCTCTCCAGCATAAACTGTCCTTGATGTTTTTGATTTTAGTCATTCTGACAGGAGTAAGATGGTATCTCAGAGTTGTTTTGATTTGCGTTTCCCGGATGGCTAAGGATGTTGAGCACTTTGAGTGTCTATCACCCATTTTAGACTCCTCTATTGAGAATTCTCTATTTAGTTCAGTTCCCCACTTTTTAATTGGATTATTTGATGTTTTGGAGACTAGCTTCTTGAGTTCTTTGTAAATTTTGGAGATCAGCTCTCTGTCAGATGTGGGGTTAGTGAATATCTTTTCCCATTCTGTGGGCTGCCTTTTTGTCTTGTTGACTGTGTCCTTTGCCTTATAGAAGCTACTCAGTTTCAGGAGGTCCCATTTATTAACTGTCCATCTCAGTGTCTGTGCTACTGGTGCTATGTTCAGGAAGCAGTCTCCTGTACCAATTTGTTGAAGGGTACTTCCAACTTTCTCTTCTAAGAGGTTCAGTGTGGCTGGATGTATGTTAAGGTCTTTTATCCATTTGGACTTAAGTAGGTGTGGGGGTTAATAATAGGGTATTCAATTCGATTCCATTGATCTACCTGTCCATTTTTGTGCCAATACCAAGCTGTTTTCAGGACTATAGCTCTATAATAGAGCTTGAAGTCAGGGATGGTGATGCCTCCAGACATTTCCTTTATTCTACAGGGTTGTTTTGGCTGGGTCTTTTGTTTTTCCATATAAAGTTGATTATTGTTCTTTTTAGGTCTGTGAAGAATTGTGCCGGTATTTTGATGCGGATTGCATTGAATTTGTAGATTGCTTTTGGCAAGATTGTCATTTTTACTGTGTTGATCCTACCTATCCAAAAGCATGGGAGATCTTTCATTTTCTGGTATTTTTTTATTTCTTTATTTAAGACTCAAAGTTCTTGCTATACAGGTCTTTCACTTGTTTGGTTAGCTTTACCCCAAGATACTTTGTTGTTTCGTAAAGGGTAATGTTTCTCTGATTTCTTTCTCAGGCCATTTATCGTCTTTATATGGAAGGGCTACTGATTTTTTTTTAGTTAATCTTGTATCCTGCCATTTTGCTGAAGGTGTTTATCAGCTGTAAGAGTTCCCTGGTAGAGTTTTTCGGGTAACTTATGTAAACTATCATATCATCTGCAAATAGTGAAAGTTTGACTTCTTCCTTTCCAATTCGTATCCCCTTGATCTCCTTTTGTTGTCTTATTGCTCTAGCTAGAACTTCAAGTACAATATTGAAGAGATGGAGAGAGTGTACAGCCTTGTCTTGTTCCTGATTTTAGAGGAATCGCCTTGAGTTTCTCTCCATTTAGTTTGATGTTAGCTGTTGGTTTGCTGTATATTGCTTTTATTACGTTCAGGTATGTTCTTGTTATCCCTGATCTCTTCAGGACCTTTAGCATGAAGGAGTGTTGGATTTTGTCAAAGACTTTTTCAGCATCTAGTGTGATGATCATGTGGGTTTTCTTTTGCAGCTTGTTTATATGGTGGATTACATGGATAGATTTTCATGTTGAACCATTCCCGCATCCCTGGGATGAAGCCTATGTGTGATCTTGGTGAATGATTTTTCTGATGTGTTCTTGGATCTGATTTCCCAGTATTGAGTATTTTTGTATCAGTGTTCATGAGGGATTTTGGTCTCTAGTTCTCTTTCTTAGTTGTGTCTTTGTGTGGTTTGGGAACCAAGGTAATTGTAGCCTTATAAAAAGAGTTTGGCAATGAACCTTCTGCTTCTGTGTGTGGAACACTTTGAGGAGTGTTGATATTAGCTCTTCTTAGAATTTCTAGTAGAATTCTGCACTGAAGCCATCTGGGCCTGAGCCTTTTTTGTTTGGGAGACTTTTGATGACTGCTTCTATTTCATTAGGGGCTATAGGTCTGTTTAAATTGCTTATCTATTCTTGATTTAATTTTGGTAAGTGGTTATCTATCCAGAAAATTGTCCATTTCTTTTAAATTTTCGAATTTTGTGGAGTTCAGGTTTTCAAAGTATGACCTGAAGAGTCTCTGGATTTCCTCATTGTCTGTTATGTCCCCCTTTTCATTCCTGATTTTGTTAATTTGCATGTTCTCTCTCTCTGCCTTTTGGTTAGTTTGGGCAAATGTTTGTGTATCTCATTGATTTTCTTGAAGAACCAACTCCTCTTTACATTGATTCTTTTTATTGTTTTCAGTCCTCAGTTTGATTATTTCCTGGCTTCTACTCAACCAGGTTGAGGTTGCTTCTATTTGTTCTAGAGCTTTCAGTTGAGCTGTTAATTCTCTTGTGTGACTATTCTCCAGTTTCTTCATGTGATTACTCAGTTTTCTGAACTTTTCTCTAAGTACTGTTTTCAAAGTGTCCCATAAGTTTGGGTGTGTTGTGTCATCATTTTCATTGCATTCTAGGTAGTCTTTACTTTCTTTATTTCTTACTAGACCTAGGAATGGTGCAATTGGGCATTGTTCAATTTCCATGAGTTTATAGGGTTCCTGTTATTTGTGCTGTTGTTGAATTCTAACTTTAAAGCATGGCGGTCTGATAAGATACAGGGGTTATTCCAAATTTTTTGTACCTATTGAGGTTTGCTGTGTTGCTGAGTATGTGATCAATTTTAGAGAAGGTTCCATGTGGCGCTGAGAAGAAAGTATATTCTTTTTTTTTTTAAGATTTATTTATTCATTATGTATACAGTGTTCTGTCTGCATGTATGCCTGCATGCCAGAAGAGGGCACCAGATCTCATTACAGATGGTTGTGAGCCACCATGTGCAATGGTGATTGAACTCAGGACCTCTAGATGAGCAGTCAGTGCTCTTAATCTCTGAATCATCTCTCCAGGCCCCGAAAGTATATTCTTTTGTGTTTGGATAGAATGTTCTATAGATATCTGTTAAACCCAGTTGGGTCATAACTTCTGTTAGTTCTTTTGC